AGGAAGCTTCTGCATTCGAGGTAAGTCTCCTCACCATACCAATGGGTCTAAGGCACCAAGGTCGGCCCATTACATTCTATGTGCGTGCTAGTTGATTATGTGATATGTGGTATGCTAGTTATATCTATGATACTTGCATGGAAGACCTCGGGGGGTTCCCGGGGTACTTAGGTATAAGACCTTGGAGGGTTTCCACGACATCTTAGGAAAAGACCCCGGGGGGTTCCCGAGGCACTTAGGTGTAAGACCTTGGAGGGGTTCCCTGGCATCCTAGGTAAAGACCTCGGGGGGTTCCCGAGGCATTAGGGTATAAGACCCTGGAGGGTTTCCAGGGCATCCATAGTAAAGACCTCGGAGGGTTCCCGAGGCATTGGGCTAAGACCATGTGGGGGTTCCCATGGCACCCGGAGTAAAACCCTGGAGGGTTTCCAGGGCATCCTTATATGTTTATATGTATGGTTTATATGGTAGTTAGTGAAGACCATGTGGGGATTCCCATGGCAATGGGCTAAGACCATGAGGGGGTTCCTATGGCACCCGGAGTAAGACTTTAGAGGGTTTCCATGGCTTCCCTATATGTTTATATGCATGGCTTATGCGATTGATATGGTTTATGTGATTAAGTGGTTTATGTGGGGTATGCTATGGGGAACTCACTAAGATTTGTTCTTACAATTTTGTTTATAGTTTCAGGTATCATCGGTTTGGAAAGGAAGGGCCCGGCTTGATCGCAGCGCACACACCCGTGTTTTCCGCATTATGTGATTTTGGGATGTAACTTTGATAAATGTTTTAATTAAGTAATGTTTTTGGAATGATTGGATGAAGTAGCATTTGTGTTTAACTATAATGAAAAATGAACCGTTTACCCTTGGTTTTTGGGGTGTTACATTATAATCTATAACTTATGATGCGAGATGTTTCATACTATCCAAAGTTTGGATCTTTGTAATTTTTAAAGTAAATATATTATACAAGTTTGGATCTTGGTAAATATTTGAAGTAAATATAATTATGATTCAATACTATACGATATAGAAGATGCAACTTTTGATCTAAATATGATACACAATGTCTATGATCTAGAAGATAATATGAATCATAAATTTTGGATCATGCATATTAATAATTGAAATTTATGATCCTATATTTACAATCCAAAAGTTATGATGCATAATGTTGTCTATGATCCAAAAGTATAAGATATAAAAGTTTTACCTTTACCATTACTGAAGTATTTAATTGAAGTACTTTTATAATAAGAAAGCAATAATGATCTATCTATTTATAAATTATGATTCAAAGCAATATGATCGAAAAAACATAATTAAATTTAAAATACATAATTGTATGATGCTAAAAAAAATTGATCCAAAATGAAATGATGCAATTTTTTACAATTTATAATTGTAAGATTCAAAAGTTTTTTGATGCAAGAAAACATGATCCGTCTTTTTTTGATTCAAAATTTCGTTATGATCAATAATATTATATATTTTATATCATAAAGTTTTATGATCCATCAATATTTTCGAATTTTTGTATTAAAAGAGTAACTTTGAGACTTAACAAAATTCCAAAACAACAAAAAACAAACAAACAACAAAACAATGTATATTAGCAAACAATCAAGAAAACACATTATAAACCAAAAGGTACTAATTTTTTAGCACACAATCAAAAACATGATCTAAATTTTTTATTCAAAAGTTTTTTGATGCAACAAAACATGATCTCATTTTTATGATTCAATTTTTCTTTATAACCCATACATATTATATGTATATATATATATTTTATATCATAAAGTTGTATGATCCAACAATATATTATCCAACTTTTGTATTAAAGAGTAAATATGAGACTTAACAAAATTCCAAAACAACAAAACAATATATATTAGCACACAATAAAGAAAACCCATTAAAAACCTAAAAGTACTAAATTTCTGATCCATAACCTATAATTATTAAAATCTAACAATATGTCTAAACAAAGTTCTTTACAACTAAACAAAGATATAAACATAACATTTTTTTGAAGCACGTCACACCCATCATTCATAACTTGCAACTAACAACAAAACATACATCATATATTTTGAATCATAAAACTTATTTTTGCATATTTTGGATCATAGAACATAAAAATAAAATACAAAAAATAGATAAAGCTGATGAATATAATAGTAAGATTAACAAAATAAAATATTATAAAGGTCTATAAACACATTCAATCATAAGTGTTCTAAAAAGATTTAATGTTCAAGTAGAGGAACCAAAAACGTTCAAAAACTACATCAAAAACATAAAAACATTGTTCAAATACATAGGTATTCCATGGAAACAACTACCTAACTGTCTCAACCATACCATATATATTATCCAAATTCTCAAGGCTATAAATGACTTTCTTGAATATTTTTTTATTTTTTAAGATTTGAGACTTCTTTTTTTTTGTGGATTCTTTGTATGGCCACACTTCTTTCTTCCTCTTCAGTAATTATGTACTAACAACAAAATAATAATAATAAAAAAAACTATTCAAACAAAGCAATAACAACTATGATCCAATTTTCTAAGCACATTCTACTTTGCTAGTATTAACTAAAATTTTTCAGACAAATACTAAGAATAACATGATAATAGATCTAGATCATGACAATACCATAAGAATTTTGCATCATCAAAATAATATTAGTAATGTGATTTTATATAATAATATGAGTATAATTATTTGCAATATTTAAAATTCAATAATTATATAAAATTGAAATCATTAACCATTTCACAAGTCTTTATACTTTCAAAGTACAATGGTGTAATAGCAAGAACTTAAAGTAGGATGCTACAATGAACAAATAAGTGAAAATACATTGCTATTTCTTGCATTCAACCCTTTCATTTATTATGATAAACATTAAATTGTAGATTTCAAGTAATGGCAAGAGAGATGCAACAAGCCTTGTATAAAATGGGATTTCCATTAACAAAAAAAAAACAATTATGAAAGTAGGATGCTACAGTAAACTAATAAATGTAAGTATATTACTATGTTTGATACTTTCATCCTTTATTTTAGTGGATTCAAATTTTTATCGAATGATTTTTAAATAAATCAAATCACGATTCAATATGATTTTCAAGGTTATTATAAGGTATAGTTCCTTTCATGTTAATAGTATATTTGTTAGTAGTAATCCCATTAATTATCTGTATATTATCATGTTATCTTCACCTTGAAGTATAACATAATGGTATTTTAGTTTCTAAATGTATCTAGCACTCATTAAATCTATAATCACAAATTTCTATCTTAACATTTTAACTAAATTTATGATACAAGATCTATTTGACCTCCACATCAATACACTTTGTATTCCATATTAAGATGGTATCTGGCATTTTTATTACAAATTAATTTCAAGGAAAAACCAATGGTTGTTTTCATAAGAAACTACATCAGTACTTATCATATATATATATAAACAAATGAAAAGAAAACCAAAATCTTTAAGAATTCAAAATTTCCAATATGTTGTTTCTTTGAGACATTATATCGAACAACTGATGAGCATCATTATATTAAGCTTCAGTTTGATGCATTTATCTAAGTTCTTTATCCAGAAAGTTGTCCAAAACTCAAAAACTTAAAAGAATTGATATGAATTTCATAAATATTAAATATTAAATATTAAATCAACAAGAAGATGGGTTCAGGTTGTTACACCCTGGTTTTACCAACATATCACATTACAAACTCAAAAAATTGAACTAATAAAACATAAGCACAAAATAGAGTTTTGTTACCTGCTCTCATGATAAATTTGTATGTTAAATCCAATCTTAAATAGTAATATTCTCTCTTGGATGAACGATTGCAAATTTGTAAACTTTATTAGGGTTTTGATGCAGCTTTGGATGGACGGTTGAACCAAAATAAAGCTAAACCATGGAGATTCAAAGGCGATTTTAAGAATCTACATAGATTTCTGAAGCGATTGATGCTTGAATGATGATCGAGAATGGAGAATGGAGAAGAAGAGAGTAGAACGAATGATTTTCAGCTTGAATGTAGATGGAAACATGAATGAGGGTTTCACTTGCGTATTTTACCAAATTGCCCTAAAGTATTTTACCCTTGATAGGAAAAGCATTAGAAGTTCATCATAATTTCCAAAATGCCACCGAATTTTTGAATTAAAAAATAAATAATTCCAATTAATCCCAACCACTCATTTTTCAAAGGGAATGGTCCAAATTTGTTCTCGCAGTTATTGAAACTGATTTGACATTTTTGTTAATTATGGAAGACTTTTTAGGGTTTTGTATTTTTGGTAAATGTTTTATTTTCCCTATATATAGTCATTAGCTTAGCTTGTGATGTAAGCTTTTTCCTGAAAATGTTTCTCTGTACGTCAATTTCCAAATCAGTGAGATACAAAAACTTTGACAAATTACTTGCAACTTTATGGTGATTGATTCATGATTGTTCTTTAGATTCCGCATTCGTCATCTCGTTTTTCAACTATATATATATATATATATATATATATATATATATATATATATATATCCCAATCCTCAAATCTGACCAATCCCTAAAACCGACCAGGTTCACAGTCCGCCCTACGACCGTTGAACTGGGGATCTTAATATTAGATCACACAAAGGCTTCAAATTTTGATCTCGAATCGCAATGCACCAAAAATCTTGCTAAACATCCAGAAAAATAGAGTCTGAAAGTAAATAGTTTGGATTAGGAGAACATTTCGCAATTCCAAATATTTGATCTGTAAAATCAAAAATCAGTGCCACATCACATAACTAAATAAATCTTCATTTTCAAATGTCTCTAAAATCCAAAATCAAATAATAAAATCAAGTTTAAAAGCTCATGATTTTCCCCTTATTTTTTATCGAAGCAAGAGTTTAGGACAGTGACGTTGTGAAGGCGGCGACGTTGTCCTCCGTCCCAAACGACGAAGACGATGGTGGTCCATGGCAAGCGACGACGACGCTACGATAAGAGAAGGAGAAGGTCCGATGAGTAGCCTTCGCCGGAGTCGGAGATTCAATGATATATTTTGCTGGTTTAGCATTTAAAAGTGTATGTAATGAGAGAGAGAGAGAGAGAGAGAGAGAGAGAGAGAGAGAGAGAGAGAGAGAGAGAGAGAGAGAGAGAGAGAGAGAGAGAGAACACTAATTTTTCTTTTTTTAGTTATTGTAATTAAAAAAAATAGAAAATATAAATATAAATAACAAAATCGTTATTTTAAAAAAAATCAAACTAAATTGGACAAAACTTGAAAAAAATGAAAAATTTAGTTCGGTGGTGTTAATTCAAAAATTGTTTGGACTAAAATGAGAATTTTTAAACAACCAGAGGACCTTTTTACAATTTAATCTTTCTAAATCTGTAACTATTATATCTATATATAGTTTATTGAGATCGAGATGTATTACTCTTTCTTTTTAAATTTCCGTTTGCATTCCAAGAAGTTGACTTTTGTCGCCAATTTTGCTGCTGTTAGATTGTGTTGTAGACGAAGGGACTGGGAAGGGATTCGATTTGGTCATCCTCATAGTCTTCACAAAATCGATCCATAAGGGTGGGAGTTTGGTTGCGTAATCTTCATTTTATGAACCAGTGAACAGTCTATCGAGATTTCATCTAAATCGCAGGACATCGGCCACCACAACATCGAAAATGTTTGCAAGTCAGCAGTTAATCGTTCTTTATAAAGCATTAGGATTTATTCGATTTCCTGGTACTAATTTCTATTCGATTTCCTAGTACTCATCAAAAAACGATATTGCAAGGTTAGCATCTCTTTACCTGTAATTTTGCATATCGAAATTTCCGAACATGTTCTTCTTTGTGCGTGTTTGTTACTCTATTGTGGTTCATGAATTTTTTCGCATCTCAATTGGTGAACTGCAGTTATAACTTTTGATTTCAATTTCAAGTTTAACGTCTAATCTGATCAACCAACCTGTAATGTATCTTTGATAAATTGGGATTTTCAGTGGTATGTTTGTTAGTAATGGGATTAGAAATTTCAAATTAAAACCAAAAACAAATGTGTGAAGGCCAATGGTTTTGGGGACCTTTTGTTTGTGGCTAATCTCTATGTCCAATGTCATAGTTTATTAGTTTGTTAGCTACTTAGGTTAGTGTTGTATCTGTTATCTTGTACCTTCCCAACTTGCTGGTTCTTTGTGTTTGATATATTCTAGCCCGTTAATGATTTTGATTTATAATTTTTGGGAAAGAAATTGATTTTGGTTCATGATTTTGATGTTCATCTTGTTTAAGATTTCTACTGTTTTTTGCTATAAGCCTGCATGCAACCCTTCATTATAAACCCTTTAATTTCATTTTGATGTCTAATAATCACTCAAGTGTTTGACCATTCTGAATTTTGGGTTTCCAAAGTACCAATTCCGTTGAAATTAGTTGTATGTTTGGGGTTTTGGGTTTCCAAAGTTCCAAAGTACCAATCACTCAAGGGGTTATTTTATGCCATACTGGTCTTTTGAAGATGTAGGTTGTGCAGGATCCCATATTATGTGGCATAGGGTTTAAGGCCATACTTTGGGAAATAAAAGGAAGACAAATGAGTAAAATCTTGTAAAAAGTTAGGATAAATCTTCCTTTCCCTGACTTTCTATGTTAAGTTGTTTTTTTTTGGTTATATTTTATTGGGAATTTATTTTTATGCTGTCCCTGACGAAAATTTCTTGTTCCGCCCTTGGTTTGTTAATCTTTTTGGCTTTATATATCATCAGTGAAACCTCATCATCCTTGTGCCTTTGCAGTTGTTATAATCTGTTTTCTTGAAAACTTTTCTCAGGAACAAACAAATCATGTCGTTCCTGGAAAAGTTTGCTCACTTAAGAATTCCACTGGAAGAGATAAGACGAGCAACAAACAACTTTGCTGCAAAATATTTAATTGGGCGTGGTGGTTCTGGAAAGATCTACAAAGGAGTGCTCATCCGGCCAGGAGGCTCTGTCAGGGTCGCATTCAAGTGGTTTGATAGAGCATTCGTCCAAGGATCATCAGACTTCTGGAACGAGATTATGGTTCTTTCTGAATGTAGACATGAAAATATCATAAACTTTGTTGGCTTCTGTGATGAGGGGAACGAGATGATCCTTGTCTACGAGTTTGCAAGAAACGGAAGCCTCGAACTACATTTACGTAGCGCTGACCTCACTTGGTTGAAGCGCCTCCAAATTTGCCTTGGTGCAGCTCGTGGCTTAAGTTATCTTCATAATCATACAGGAACCAAACAGAGAATCGTTCATCGTGACTTGAAGAGCGCACATATTCTATTAGACCAAAATTGGCATGCAAAGATAGGTGATTTTCGGTTATCCAAATTTGGTCCGGCAAATATGATGAATACTTTCCTTTTTACCGATATGGTTGGTACACTCGGCTACATGGATCCTCTGTACATTGAAACTGGTCTTCTAACAAAAGAGTCAGACATTTACTCTTTTGGGATTGTATTAATGGAAGTTCTTTGTGGGAGACTGGTAAATGAAGAGGGGAAAATGCTTCTTGGTAATATGGTACGCCGCCATTATGAAGAAAGAAAACTCACCGAAATCATAGATCCAATTCTAAGAAAACAAATGAGCGCAGATTCCTTGGATCTTTTTTCTGCTATTGCATATCAATGCCTGAAAACAGAACACAAGGAACGCCCATCGATCATTGAGGTTGTGGAAAAGCTTGAGCAGGTTTTGAAACTTGAACCAAAATTTGAGGAGGCGTTAGCACATCAACAAGTAAGTTACTATATTAATTACACATTTTCGGTTATTATTTCATCAATAATTCATTTAAACATCTATATATGCACAATATAAATGACCACGTGCAAAATTTTATTATGGGGAGTTGCACAATCCAAACGGTGTAAAATTGCCAACTACCATGTAAACCTTAACAAACTATTCAAAATCTTTAAACGTAAAAATGTGAAGAAAAGAGAAAGTATAACTAAACACTAAGATTGTGTTGAGTAAGACTATTAAAGTAGGTTATAAAGTTTGCTTTTAAAATAATATTTAAGATAACTTCTTAATAATTTTATTATATTTTTTTCCACAAGTTTGCAAATACATCTTACATGCTCATTTTTCACTAAAAATATACATATAAACATATAATAGTTTTTGTTTTAGGGGAGACCAAACCTTTTTGTTGTGATGTTGTTTATTTTAATTTTTTTAACACCCTTACCAAATAGAAATATAATAAGAGATCAAAATAATGCATATTATAGAAATATAAAATAACGCATATTATAGTTTTTGTCCCTGTGGAATTGGGTAGTCTACCTGCTTAGTCCCTATAAAGAATTTTTAACTCGGAACATCCATGTGGTACGTATTTGTTGCGTTTTTGGTCCCTAATCGATATAAAAAGACTAATTTACCCTTAACAATTTTTTTAACCTTTTAATATTATTTATTTATTAAGAAAAATAATGAATTATGTGGGTCCCAACTACCCCTTCACGTCCTTGTCCTCCGCCCTCCCCCTTCTTGCTCTATAGTCTATACCAGCGTACCACCACCATTGATGAACAACCCTTACTCCTCCCCTTTTCTTGCTATATGCCTATCACCAGTCTCCACAGCTTCTAACAAACACCCGCATCTTCCCCTCCATTGATTACATCTGATAAGCATAAGATCGTTGGATCTGGATAATTTTTTCATCTAACTTATTATCTAATTTTTTCTTTATTACTTAGTTGATTAGCTACATCTTGTTTATTAGGCACTAATATTTTTGCTAAAAGTTATATTTTCAACGTACATACTAAACCCAAACTTAATAGTATGGATAAATTACCTAAATCTCCGTACTTATATATGCTGAAAACTTTGTTAGAGTTCAAATTTTTCCCACATCCACACCGCTAAGTTTAAACTTTTGCATACTTTCGTATTATTATTTATTTATATTTATTATACTTAAATATGCAATTTTCTTCTACTTTTACACACTTATGAGTGTATCTCTAAGTTTAAACTTTTTCATACTTCATATTATTATTTCTACATGCAATTTCTTCTACTTTTACACACTTATGAGCAGGGCCGGTCATGAGGATTTAAATATCATCAAAATGCCCTGATCGAGCCAAAAAAATGGCCCTTATCGCTATTATAGGTTTTTTATTTTTAAATAAATATATATACATATATAATAAAAAAAATTAGGCCTCCAAACAAACTGGGCTCTATGCAGCTGCCCACTTTGTCCCTCCTTCCCTGCCCCCTCATGTTTATGAGTGTGTGACTTGTATAGTTTCAAAACATTTATAAACCTTAAAAATTTATATTTATTTTATATAGGACAAGAGTAATTACTCCATAAATGGTTAATATTGTATGCAATTTTCTTTAAATTGGCCCCAAGACAACCGTGGTGTTTTCATTAAAAATCTTTTAGAGACCTAATGTAATAGAAAAATACATGCAGTAAGACCATGACACCTTTGACAAAATTTTGATATACAAAAATAACACAAAAAATCAATGAAAAGTAAAAAACAATAAAAACCCGTTAGCCACAAGGTCCACAAAATATTATCAAACATCTTGCACACCACTTTCAAACATGCCACCTCATTATTGTCGTTGTAAAGGTTGCAATGCCAATCTATATCTATAGGGTCCATCTTTATAAAACTAAATTATTAGTTATCAGTAAAAGTTATATTTAATTATTAATATTGTATAAATATATTTATATACTTAGAAATATATAAATTCGAATCTAAATTATTAAATTTGTATGTTTAATGCATTAAATTAAATTAAATTAAGTATTTATTGTTATTATTATTTAAATACTATATATTTTAGTAATTGTTTATTAATTAAATTATAATCTATTGTATTCATGTTAATACTTTATTAAATATTAATTAACTATAAATAAAGAAAATATTTTTTAAAATTATAAAATGTTTCTTGACGTATCATCAGAGATCGTATATGAATGAAAATAGACACTACAATGAGAGTAATTATAAAAAGGGAAATTTCGTATATGGCTTCTTAAACATCAAAATATCATATATGCCCAACTTAATTTGTAATTATCATATTTTCTCAAACTTTTTTTTTAAACATTTATAAAATAGTATAATCATTTTAAAATCTTATTTTTTTATGAATTGACTATAATACCCTCTATAGAAATCTAAGTTCGAAATACCATATATATCATCATAAACTTCTAAATTATTATATATACCCTGATTATTATTTTAATTTTAATAAACTCATAAATATCAACACATAAGATCGGACTCAAAACTCTAGCAAAAATCAAATTAAGCTATTTAAAAAGAATTAGAATCATTTCTAATTTATCATTGCCCAAAATCACAAAAAGAATTTATGACACCAGAAATGTTTATAAAACCAAAATGTTGTTTGCTTATGTTTCTATTTCAACCTTGATTTCATAAAGTTGTTATTGGTTTCAAGATTTTTGGAGTATACGGTATTTAGGTTAGCTCCAAGTGAAAAGAGGGACATACATACTCTCTCTCTCTCTCTCTCTCTATATATATATATATATATATATATATATTCTCTCTCTCTCTCTCTCTATATATATATATATATATATATATATATATATATATATATATTGACTGACAGTCAATATATATATATATATATATATATATATATATATATATATATATATATATATATATATATATACTGACTTTCTTTTTGTCAATATTAGGTTGCAGATAATTTGAAAGACAGACGAGAAGGTGAAGAGGACTTCAAGGTAATGAAATTGAAATTTTAAACATAATTATAATAACTTGTTTTCTTCTTTCCTTCAAAAATACTATAAGCGAAATTCTAAAAGTGAGGTGCCGGGTCCAAAACCAACATACTTCCTTGAACTTTGTCGTTTAACAATTTTCATCTAACATGATAACTTTGAGGTAGGTGTGTTGTGAGGTTTCAAGGGTAACAAGCGCACTTGCACGCACACACAAACACATCACTACTAGAAAATCAACACCAACAACAATCATAACCCAACGGAAAATCATTAGCAGCAAAACAAGTTTAGTTTTTATTATGGAAAAATAGCTACATACTTCTAGAATTTTGATACGAATCGGGAGAGATGGGGTAGAGTTTATAAGAGACGTAACGCATTAAATTAAATTAAATTAAGTATTTATTATTATTATTATTTAAATACTATATATTTTAGTAATTGTTTATTAATTAAATTATAATCTATTGTATTCATGTTAATACTGTATTAAATATTAATTAACTATAAATAAAGAAAATATTTTTTAAAATTATAAAATGTTTCTTGACGTATCATCAGAGATCGTATATGAATGAAAATAGACACTACAATGAGAGTAATTATAAAAAGGGAAATTTCGTATATGGCTTCTTAAACATCAAAATATCATATATGCCCAACTTAATTTGTAATTATCATATTTTCTCAAACTTTTTTTTTAAACATTTATAAAATAGTATAATCATTTTAAAATCTTATTTTTTTATGAATTGACTATAATACCCTCTATAGAAATCTAAGTTCGAAATACCATATATATCATCATAAACTTCTAAATTATTATATATACCCTGATTATTATTTTAATTTTAATAAACTCATAAATATCAACACATAAGATCGGACTTAAAACTCTAGCAAAAATCAAATTAAGCTATTTAAAAAGAATTAGAATCATTTCTAATTTATCATTGCCCAAAATCACAAAAAGAATTTATGACACCAGAAATGTTTATAAAACCAAAATGTTGTTTGCTTATGTTTCTATTTCAACCTTGATTTCATAAAGTTGTTATTGGTTTCAAGATTTTTGGAGTATACGGTATTTAGGTTAGCTCCAAGTGAAAAGAGGGACATACATACTCTCTCTCTCTCTCTCTCTCTCTCTCTCTCTCTCTCTATATATATATATATATATATATATATATATATATATATATATATATATATATATATATATATATATATATATATATATATATATATATATATGCTGACTTTCTTTTTGTCAATATTAGGTTGCAGATAATTTGAAAGACAGACGAGAAGGTGAAGAGGACTTCAAGGTAATGAAATTGAAATTTTAAACATAATTATAATAACTTGTTTTCTTCTTTCCTTCAAAAATACTATAAGCGAAATTCTAAAAGTGAGGTGCCGGGTCCAAAACCAACATACTTCCTTGAACTTTGTCGTTTAACAATTTTCATCTAACATGATAACTTTGAGGTAGGTGTGTTGTGAGGTTTCAAGGGTAACAAGCGCACTTGCACGCACACACAAACACATCACTACTAGAAAATCAACACCAACAACAATCATAACCCAACGGAAAATCATTAGCAGCAAAACAAGTTTAGTTTTTATTATGGAAAAATAGCTACATACTTCTAGAATTTTGATACGAATCGGGAGAGATGGGGTAGAGTTTATAAGAGACGTAACGCAAGGGGGTGATTATTAATTATTTAAAGTTGATTATAGACTTTATCTTTGTGATTAAGTTTCCTAGTATTGTGATTTTCGTTTATGTTTAAATAAGGGTTAGGGCCTGCTTGGGTGGAGGCATGAATTAAGTTCTTTCGTAGTCTTTCTGTTTGGAGATCCCTCCGAATCTCGAACTATCAGAACCCCATTGTTGATTTCCTTTAAGCATTAAGCTAATAGTAATTGCAGTTTTGATCCGGTTCTTATCAAATTTTAATGAGATATTTAACGAATAATTATACATTACTAATTAGTAAAAATCTTAGTAAAATTATTGTTAACGACAAAACTGTGGACAATAAAATGATATTTTTTACCGTCACTATTCTGGATGATATATTTGTCGTTGCACAACCGCTAAAAGTTTGTCGCCACTTTGTGGTTGGATTGAACCTTTCCTGACAATTTCTTTTGGATTAAACCCTAAACCCTAAACCTTTCCTGACAATTTCTTTTGTCAACAATCTGACATTAAGGTGCTGTTTGTTTTTTCGAAGCAAAAACAGCTGAAGGCTACGGACCACATCTGCAACCCTCTGCAGTAGAAGAGGTGGACCAAACGGCTGTAGCCTGTAATAAAAAGTCTGTTTGTTTTTAACCTCTACAGACTGCTGCAATAAACTGAAATTAACTATATAATAGTTAAAAATAAATCTGAATAAAAAATTTATTTAGTTTAATCATATGCAAATCAAATATAAAGATCATTATGATGATATGAATTTCAAAGAGGTTTATATAAAAGAAATAAACATAATATTTGCTAAATAACAATAAATAAAATTATTAATTTAGCTAAAAACATGTTCATTTTTGTTAAAATTTTGAAGATGGTGATTATTTTTCCGGTTAACTTCAATAAATTTAGTAATTTTAATGATTACCTTTATAATTTATTAATATTTGGTTATTGACAATATAACACAAAAAATATGTATATGAAATTTACCTAACGGTTTTTAAATTATTTGAAATTATGTAAAATATACTTCAATTGTATATAATATTCTTCAAATATCATTAAAATAATAAACATATTGTTGAAAAAAAGTTTAAAACAAATCTAAGTTGAATAATATAACTTAAAGTAAGTGAGAAGTGATTTGAAGAGAATGGTCCAGTGTTGCGCCGTGTGTGCGTTGCGCCGCGCAGCACATGCACAACAATTTTTAAGTTAGAAGTCTTCCAAAAAACAAATAGCTGCAAAAAAGCAAGTGTTACGTGTGTGTTGCGCGGCGCAGCAAGAAGTGGTCAGAAGGTTTGAGTCATAATCAATTGCAAATTATTTCATTTATCCCTTTTGTACAATGACCTTATTTTACAAAATAATATATTCACTTACAAATTATAATGTCATAATATAATATAGACAAAAATGAAAAAAATCTGAGTTTTGGTCCAAACCCTGATTTTTTTGGATGAGTGGTTATTTTGAGGTAGTTTCGTGGCGTATTTGGTTCCTCCGAATACTGAAATAACTGTAATACCCTTGGGGTATATATTTTCCATTTTTTTTTTTTTTTTTTAAATCTAATACTTATAATTTTTTTAATAATTAAAAAATAAGATGGTCTCTCTCTCTCTCTCTCTCTCTCTCTCTCTCTCTCTCTCTCTCTCTCTCTCTCTCAAACACCCTTAGATTAACGACTCTCAAACCTGAACTACCATTCTCTATTATATTCAAAACTCATACACTAAATTCACTTTAAAACCCACCAGTAATCCTATTTTTGCAACCAAAGAACAATTCAGATCGATTTTTGTCTCTGTAAGTTTGGTTGTGAAACCAGACATAGAATACACACACAAGATCTAGATCTGGTGACTCTACCTTCGATCATCACCCCATGGTGACTCTACCTCCGATATCCACCCTACAAATTTCGTCTTTATCATAACACTCATAAGAACCTAATGTGTAGAGACCAAAATGACCCACAAAATACAAGTAAAATTACATAGAGAAGGTAGCACATTCTGAATCAAAATATGTAGATTTATGATCTTCTCATTGTTGTTGCCCGTAGATCACCATCTCTCACCGGAAATCGCATACCGTTAGGGTTCATACTCGAAATAAGTATGTATGTGTGTGTTCATCCATTAAAATCATCCTCTACTTCTTTATGGTTTTCCAGTCAACCACATGAACTCATATCATCTGTTACAAGGAACAACAATGGTGAATTGCTGATGGAAGCTCATTTCTGCAAGATTAATAACCTTGAAGATTTCTCGATTTCTGCAAGATTAACAACCTCGATGTTACTCGATTGCGGAACTCTGTCGTCTTGTGTTTCCTCAAGGTCGTCGTATGTCGGCCGGAGCTCAAAAAGATGGGTGTTTTTTAAGTTGCTTCTTTTGTTAGATACATTTAATTCGTCGTAATCAGGTCAAGGCCTCAAATTTTCGAAAGAAATCTCATCGAAGTTGATTATGTGCTTTTAATTGTGTGTGTGCTTGTATGTTTAATCCTCAGAAAATGGTTGTGATGGTGATAACAGGTGAAGGGTTTGGAGTCTTGAGTTGTAGGTGAAGGGTAGGGAGGAAGATGATGGTGGTGGGTAGTATTGTTTTTAGCGTGTGTATGAGAGAGAGAGAGAGGATCCTCTTAAGTTTTAATTATTAAAATAAATAAATAAGTATTATATTTTAAAAAATTGAAAGAACAATGGAACGTTGATCGAGTTTGATTGATTTGATTTTTTATTAATATACAAAAATAAAATAATAATGGGAATAATAAGAATAATAAAATAAAATTAAAGTAAAATATCATATAGGTTGTAAAAATGAATTTAAAATGATTAGAAAAAATTTAAAATGATGGGATGTTTGAGTGATTAATGGGAATGTGGTGCATTTGGTAAAAGAATTATTAAAGTAAAAAAATGATTGTTTACACCCAACTCAACTTTAGCTCCCTTCTTCTTCTCTTTTTTTCTTGACTTTATTCGGCCATTATATTTTAACCAAATTATTTTCTATATAAACCACTCTTAGCCTCTTCATAAATCTAATAAAGTTTCTAAAGATATATTTTTAAATTTTGTGGGATGAGAGAGTTTCATTGCATGTGCTTAGGGTTGGGAGGTTGGAAGTGAGATCAGAGATAAAAGATTGATGTGTAGCCTATGTGGCGTTAGAGTTGGGATCCACACACCCTTATGCAAATTTCATTAGATTGCACAATATTCTAGGGTGAATTGTTACGGTCAGAACAGATTAGCTTTTTTGTCCTCTGCTTGTGTGGCTTGTCGGACTTAAGGCATATGATATATTAAAATAATTGTCGTTGAAAATTGATATTTCCACCAAATAAATAATTTCAAATTAATTATAAGAGTTTATGAATATTTATTAAAATCAATCTTTAATAAATAATTAATTGTATCAAGTTGTTGTCAGTGTGACCCTTAATAATCATATATTATCTAGCAATATCATTTTATAATGACTCTTGGACATATAGATCTTTTATGTTACAAATAACATTTCTATATATTGTTGGTACTCTTAAGTTATCTAAGAGTACAATAAAGTTCTATACTGACTTGTGTTATTCCATTAATGATGGGAAAATGCATCACAAATGCATAACCATACTTAACACCAAATCAGATAGGCATTTGAATAACTGACGCTACCCTAAAGCAATATTCAAACAAGAGCATGCATAAGGGCTAAATCAAAGATTCTAAGCCTATGCAGTTCAAGTTAAGTTCAAGTTATGTGCAACTTAAGGCATTTATTTTATAAGTTGCCAACATCAATCCTAATTGTTCACTTCTACCAGACATGCTATTGATCTATTGGCGTATAATAAGCATATAATGCATATAGCACATAAAACACATAATACATTTACTCTTATCCAGTCAGTTCTAGCATGCAATTACATCTAAATATTTAATAGTTAAATTTTCTATCATGCATAATCAAATAACTGCACATTAAAATCGACTTAGGTCATAGAACAATGTTCGTAATCCTAGAGCAACAATCAAACAAGAACATGCAGTGTGACAAAGTTCACATTCCTAACCCAACCGTTTTTTATAATTATTTGTAGGAAAAAAGTTTTCTTTCAAAATGTGTCATTTGAAAAATTGTTTTGAAAATTTTGAGCTTTTGGCTTGAGTTCAGACACACAAATCCTTCAAACCATGTTCTTAAATAATCATAATATTAAATCCTTTTCAAACTTCATTCAAAACATAAAAGCAGAAGTTGTAAATAGTCATAAAAGTCTTATACAATCTTGTGCGATAAACATGTACACGCACCAATACATACAAACATACATAAATAGATAATCAGATACATACAGACACACATATATACATTCTGAATTCAAATGAATTATATTTACTCACTTTCTATGTGTTTGTTAATTGTTACTTGTCAATAAGCAGCATGTTATAGTGAGGAGGATAGCGACCCCGATCACGGATTGGATCGAGAGGCAATGCTTATACCTCTTCTTTCTCGATAGGATTCCCATTATTTGAAGTCTCCGGCCTCCCTTCTGTCTTTTTTTTTTTATAGATCAGTTCAGTTTGTAAACAGCAGGTGATTTTTAGCCGGGAAACTCGAAATGTCCACGGTCTGGTGTTGGAGGGAGAGACAGAATTCATCTCATCGCATGGGAGAAGGCTCTCCGAAGCTTCGATTTGGAGGCTTGGGCTGGAGGACTGCCGTATCTTTTTTGAACCGAATACCTTCCTCTGTCATCTCTGGTCTGTCTCTTTTTGAGAGAAGATTGCACTCTCAGACCGCCACCCATATTATGGAGGATTTGTATCTGCCTCATGAGCCGGATGATTGCCTCCGCGAAATGTCCATTTTCTTTGAAAAGGGGGGGTGGGGGGGCAGGGAGCGGAATATCCTCAGAATTAGGGATGTATTCAAGACGCTCCCCAAAAAGGGAATTGATCTATGGTCGATTTCATAAGAATTTAAAGTTAGACCTCGTAAAAAGACTTTTTCTTTTGTGGAATTAAGCAGTTCCTTTTTTAGAAAGAAATTATGTTTAAGTAAGCAAATAGAAACGATGTCATGGTTACAATCCAGAATATAGGCTTGCTTTTGCCCTCTCTCGATACTACATTTATGCTCCTAAATCACTGAATTCAAACTCTCTATCGGATGAAAGGGAGCTTCTGTTATATTTTTATATTTCTTTCTTTTCTTTTTCTTCCTTTCAATTGATTCCTTAAGCCATGTTTTGGACCAGATTTCTTTGAGTTGTGTGTGATCTTGTGTGTATAGTAATATTACAATAACCAAGGAATTTTAACTTTTATTTTTTAAATTTCAACTTGGCAGGTGAAAACTATGGAACATATGAAGATCCCATTAAAAGATATAAAGTCAGCAACTCATGATTTTCATGAGCATTTTAAAATTGGAAGGGGTGGATTTGGGGAAGTATACAAAGCAGATCTCTTCCACTTCGATTTCAGAAAATACATTGCAGAGAATAGATTTCAAAGGCTTTCTTTGGCAGAACCCTTAGACTACCCAAAAAGACAAAGCACAGTTGCTATTAAGCGGTTAGATCGTAGATATGGACAAGGACCTGTACAGTTCTTGCAAGAACTCTCGATGCTTCCATATCTTACACACAAAAACCTTGTCACACTTGTTGGATTTTGTGATGAAGATCGTGAGAATATTCTTGTTTATGAGTATGCCCCAAATGGAAGCCTCCATGATCATATTCATAGTTCTAATACCACAAATAGTCATACATGGGCAAGACGTCTTCAGATTTGCCTCGATGCTGCCTCTGGGCTTGAGTTTCTCCATAATGGTATTGGAGAACATTATAGGATAATACATCGAGATATAAAGAGCTCCAACATTTTATTAGGCCAAAACTACATTGGTATGATTAGTGACTTTGGGTTGTCAAAAATTGGTCCTGCCAATCTAGAAGCCACCTTTGTGATGACTCAAGTTGCTGGCACACCATTATATATAGATCCACAATATCAAAAAACAGGTTTGCTAACAAAAGAGTCTGATATTTATTCGTTTGGGGTGGTTTTGTTTGAAGCATTGAGTGGAAGGTTGGTTCATTTCCAAAGGTCTAAAGATGACCCAGAATTTCTGCTCAAGATGGCTAAACGTTGCTTCGAGAAAAAAATTATCAATGAGATTATCGACTCGAAGTTCAAGAAAGAATTCGAGAAATCCGGCTCTTCCATTCTAGATGACGAAACCTGCCCAGATTCCATAAAGATATATGCATCAATTGCATATAAATGTTGCAATGAAAAACGAGAGGATCGTCCTATAATAGCTGAAGTCGTGAAAGAACTTGAGAAAGCATTGAAGTCTCATGTAAGTCATTAGTTTTATAAGAGCATCTCCAATCCATCCCATTCTCCATTTTCACCCCATTTTTGCCTCCATTCTTCTCCAACCCCACCCCATTTCTTACTCCAGTTTTGGGGAAATGAATAGTATTACTAAAAATATGGAGTAACACTATTCATTTCCCCAAAATCGGAGTTGAAGTTTCAGTTATCGATTTAAATCCCTGACTTTTTATGTTTATACATTTCTAGTTTTTTTTAATCTTCTAGTTATACATTAAATGTAATAATTAATATTTAAATATGTTAAATTATATTAATTAATCTTAAATATAAAGTTTAACCGACAGTTGACAAATTTTCGTCATTAAATTCATAATTATTTCAAATCCATATAGTTATATGTAAACAATTTATTTTGTGATAACATAATTTGTAATATTATTGTAATGAAGAAAAGATAGAATATATATATATATATATATATATATATATATATATATATATATACTAGAAATTTACTTTTTGGGGTAACAAATGTGTAAAAAATGGATTAAGGTTGGCGATGAAACACTATTTACCCTATTTTTTGGGAAATAAATGGAGATGGGTTGGATATGGTTTAACAACTATTGATCTGTGAGATCAGTTAACAACTCTTGATCATACATATAATTCATTTTATTAGTTTAGGTTCTATTTTGTTTGTGAGGCTAAATTAACATGACAGTTATAATGAAAATAAAAGTAGAGGGATATTTGGCTAAGCCAATCGTATAAGATCCATCAAATGAAAAGTGGAATGGGCAATTATGCAGGTAAACCGGGTGGAGGCCTTTAGAATAACACTTGGCGACATTAGGTCTGCTACAAATGACTTCCGTGATAAAATAGAGCAAGGACCAGCAGGTGAGGTGTACTGTGGAGAACTTCAGTACTTAAAGGGACATGGCACAGTTACCATAAAGTGGCTCTGTCCTTCAGTGGATTCTTCTGGAGAAGAATTTGTTAAGGAGATTGCAAGACTTTATAGTTATAGCCATGAGAATGTTGTTCCAGTTTTAGGATTTTGTGAAGAAGGGACTGAGAGGATCATTGTTCTTGAGCATATGGTTAAAGGAAGTTTAAAAGATCATCTGACCAATACTAGTCTGATGTGGAAGCAACGACTCAAGATATGTATTGATGCTGCATATGGGTTAGCTTACATTCATAGTCATGCTGAGACAGAACATATGATTCATGGTGACTTAAAAAGCAGTAGCATTCTACTTGGAGATGACTGGAAAGCTGCTATTTCTGATTTCATCATTTTCAAAGGTGCAGGCACTTTAGGTTATCTTGATCCACTCTATGCGACCACAAGTTCCCTTACACAAGAATCGGACGTTTATTCTTTTGGTGTGATTTTATTTGAAATCTTATCTGGGAGATTGGCAAATGAAAGGATTGAAATTGATCAGCAACAGCCACTTCTTGAAGTTCCAAACGTTGAACTTCAACTAAACAGTGCAAGTGGTACAGGCAACGACAACGAGCCAGTGGCTTTTCTTGCAAATTGGGCATCAAAATGTTTCAAAAACAAAAAAATAGAAGATATTATCTTTCATGCTATAAAGAAAGAAATTGACCCAATGTCTTTGGTGATATTTTCAACGATTGCGTATCAATGCTTGATGGAACAACGGACTGACCGCCCAACAATGACTAAGGTTGTAGAAGAACTTGAAAAAGCCCTTGATTGCCAAGTAAGTTCACTTAATGAGTAGATGAAGAACAGATAGCTTAGGGTTAGAAAGGAGGGTTTCTTGAATAATATATTCTCACAACTATAGGAATGAAAGTTGAAAGATTCAGAAATCTGCTATGAATGCAATTTTAACATTTTCATCTTTCACATATACCCAGGATGAGTGGGAATGGGAGCAAAAATTACCTACAGATTATAAAGAAATAATCCAGATGTCAAAACGTCCGGTGGCCTCTACAATCAGAAAGAAGGATATCCATTCCCTCATGTCTTCGGGAATGCTACTTCACAATGAAAAAGTAGAGTCCCTTAAATCGTTTATGTATCTTCAATTGATTGCTTTATGAACTATGCTTTCCATAAACAAATTAATTTTCACTCACTCGTTTTCCACTTTTTATTGTCTTTTACGGTAATAGTGGTTTTCAATAAGCATGGACGGAGCAAGAAATGAAATGGCATCTGCAAAAACATTTTCATACGGCGATGTTTCTTCTGTGAAGTGGAAATCGCTACAAAAGTCAAGGTTCTCTCTCATTCATGTGGTTAACAGCATGTTCTATATATAAACTTTTTAGTGAAGTCGTTTTACTAAGAATCCTCTACTTGGTGTAGCCTTGTGGCATACAGCTATCTTTTATGAAACGAAACTTATAATACCCAAGGATTTTAATTAGTAGCAAATCTCATGAGGGCTAATTGGTTTGTAGTTTTTCTCATCTTTGAGGCAAATAATGTGATTGCATTTTAAAAAAAAAAAGGAAAATGAAATATATTTTCATGAGAATCATATATGGTAACATCTAACATGTACATTTTGAGGAACTACCGACACTTGTTCCTTTTTACAATTTCGGTAGGAAAATGTGAATAATAAGAATGATCAATGGCTAGGAAAAAGGGTGGATTAATTGTATTATAAGATATATCAATATCATATAGAGTTGTTATATAGTTATATGCATGTGCAGATTCCCAAAGGTCGCAAGGATACCTGATATCTCAAATCTCAATATCGAAATTAAGATAAAAACTCAATTTCTAACTCCAGAGATGATGTATGGAGCTTACCTAGTGTTCAAGTTTTGTGATAAAAGAAAGGTTTCTAGCAGGCCGTTATACGTGAACCTAAAATATATGATGGCAGGTGAGACCTTAAGTGCATATTTTGCAGAGTGGGAAGTTGGAACCGAGTGGTTGAAAGTCAAACTGTTCCAATTTTCGAGTAATAATGGAAGTATCGATGTTGAGATTCTACTAGAAAGCTTGTCTCAGTATTATTGTGGCAGAGGGGCCATATATATTGAAGGCATAGAGTTTCAGGCCATTCGAAGTGTAAGTCGAATAATGCATGCATCTTTCATGCTTATATTTATGGAAAAGATATGTGAATATGTCATAACATGGTCATTTAACTGTGTATAGGTTGATTTTGAACACAATAACGAATTGAAGGATGGAACAAACAGTGAAGGAGTTTTGAATACACAGTTGGACATGGACTGGGTGGAAAAAATGTTATATCATTACGAAAAAATTATCAGGAGGTATGGGAAGAATGTCCATGTTGCCAATGGAATTGATAATAAAGAGGTGATTTATCGCCTTCTTTCTGAGGGAATTCATATTGACAAGGGTGAAAAGGTCTGATTTCTTTTCGTTTTTATGTACAAAAACTAGGCAAACAGTACAAATTATCACTCCCCTACCACCAACTTACTGTAGTATCATAATGACAAACTTGCAACTCTATATTGAACAGTTTTTCTCACTAAGCAAAGCGATGAAGAATTGCCACATGCTAACGGCATCATCAGTTATATACAATTCCTTAAACTTAAAGTTCAGCAAGCCTCCAACTGGATTAAGGTTTGCTTTTTTGAACTGTCTTAATTACTCCTTTCATCTCAAGTCATATTTATGTATATGCATGTTTACTTCATGTTAAATATTTTTAACTATTTTTATTTGATATATATATAGACCTAGAAAGAGAGATATAATTATTAGCGTATATATTATGAAATGACTAATTAAAAGAGTTAATATAGGTGCAGATTTGCAAAGGTTGCAAAAATTCTGTCTCACCAGGATTTCCGTATCAAATGTGACATAGAGACACAAATGCTCTCATCAGATACAACCTACGCTTGTTTCCTTGTGTTCAAACTTTCAAAAAAATGCCGTGGTCTTAAGTGCCCAGTGAAGACTCGTGATTTAGTACCCCATAGAAAGGAAAGAACCAAAATCATTTCTTTCAGGTACCCAAGCACAGTGAATTTGGACAAAATCAAATGGATTCCAAAACAGAGAGAAGATGGATGGATGGAGGTTATAGTGTGGGAAACTATCTTTGATAACACCCATAATGATGAGTATATTCCTATGGATTTGAAACTGACATGTTTTGAAGGAAATATGTCTGGTCTTATTGTGTATGGAATTGAGTTCCGTCCTATAGCATAAGTGTATATTAAGTAAAATTTATACATGCTGTTCTAAGTGTATAGTAACTGTTATTACATCTTTTGTACTTTTATATTAACTTAAAGGCTCAATAGAAGATATTGCCCCAATACTATGTAGCGCATAGCTAGTTGCATGTCTATACAAGACAAGATAAAATTCTTTTTATAGCAGGGAAAATTACAAAGTAAAAGAAAATACACACAAGAGCTACAGCATTTGTTTTTTGGTTTATGTATATGGCATCAAAAAGTTACAGGGGTGCAATACTATTAAAACCAGAAAACATACCAGTAGAATTAATGTAATCCTAAAGTGGACATACATGATGATCATCTTAGCTGGAGGAAGCAAAACAACCATACCAACGATTTTCATAAACCACTACAAAAACAGGTTCACGCTCTTAATTAGAACCCAGATGCTGACAAACGGATGAGTGTTAGCCATAACTTTCAACCCACTTGTATACGATTAATATCTTTCACAGATAAGGTCATTAATTTTCAAAAGACCCTCTATCTGTATTCAAGACATTATTAAAAAAGGAAGGTTTTAACCAATGCTGGATTATATAGCTACTCGGAATTTGGTAATGAAAATGGTGCAAAAGATTTTGACTGTGAAGAGATAGAAGTTTGGTCCAGGTTCTGTTGATTATTCCCATGGAAAACAGATTTCATTTATAATGACAAAGCTATCTGGCTTCCCATGCCTTGTCTTCCTTAATCTTTCCCAATTGTGGGCAATTTGGTAAATTTCTCATTCCCTTTACTCTATCGATTCTGATGACCCTAATCTTTCTTTTGGTCGTATCTGCACTCTCTTCCGGATTAAATTTTTATCGATTCCGTGATTAATATAGAGCTTGATGGGGCTAAGATTTAAGGTTCATATCAAAGAATCAGAAGAGCAAAAGAAAATTTCAATTTTCGGCGGAAACAGGAAATGAAATCGCTTCTGGAGTCGATTTTAGATCCTGTTGGTGAAACATAAATTCCGATTATATTTTTTTTTTGACTCTGACGAGCTTTATCAAGATGAAGCTGTTCGGAAACGTTGTATCGATTCCCTAGTCATCACCCCTGAAAATCACATTTCCGTCGATCCTCTAGCAGGTGCCTCTGCCGCAGATGCGCCCCTCTGGCAGTCTGACACTCCGGCCCTCCCAATATCTCTTGTACTTCATAATCGGCCTCTTATCTGTCGTATCCCTCCACGTATTTTGGGCTCTTGGGATGCTTACTTTTGCACTCGGCAGCCCGTGAGCCCAGTAATGAGGAGCCCATCTACTCCCAAGATAGTCCCAACTCGCAAGTCCCAACTCCCAAGTACAGTGAACAATACAAAGTGGTTTTTTTGACAACCAAATGGAGTAAACCGGGACTGGTTTTGAAATAACCGAACTGGTTTTGAAAGAACTGAACTGGTTTTTTTGAACCGGTTTTTTACCTGATTTACATGAAAAAAAAAAAAAAAAAAAACAAACAAACAGAACCAATTAAAAAATCGAAAAAAAAAAAAAACTATTTTTTTACAAATTTCACCTTCCACTAGATCGAACCGATTATGAGCAAAACCTGTTTTATGTAAACATTTCTAAAAAAATCAGCTTTTTTTAAAAACTAGAATAAGTTTAAAACTGGTGTTTATGTACCTCTAGTCCCAAGTATACGTGCATAAGAGACGCGAGACAACCCCCACATGCGGGTGGGTATGGCGGGGCTTTGACTAGTTAATAGGTCCATGAGTCCATCAAGCCATGCATGTGGGCTTCATACAAACTCATTTTTCTATGTGTGCTCGGGCCTTAACCGAGCTATACATAGGCTTTGTTTTTAGACTAACCCAAACTATATTCGGGTCACTCTTTGGACCGGATCAGATGCTTTTCGTTCAAAAAACTAGCTTATCTTGTATACAATGCGTATTTAATCTATTTGTGTGTTATATGCTATAACGTAGTATTCTCCTAGAGTTAGTTGAAGGATATTTTGTGTAATCAATCAAAGGTATATAATAACATAATACTTTCATTCATTTATACTCTTCTATGTTTGATAGTTTTGGGTCTTATATACCATGGTAAAATTCTAAACGATGGTAATTGTTCATGAACGGATATATGAAAGACCTATATGTATACAAAGTAGATGAATAAAAGACGGTATTTTTGAAGGAGTATAAAAGACAGTAGTTATAGTTAAATAATGGTGTACCCATATCGGTTATTAAATAAAGAGGGGATATCGACCATAGATCGGGTAATAACGAAAACAACGATAAAAGGCCCAATAAGGAGAAAGGACCATATCGAACCGGTTATATCCGACCCGATCGATAAAAGAATAACCAACAACTATAAAAAATAAACCCAAGAGACAATCCTAAGGCACAACGTATAAAAAGCAACAGACAAGGCATATCCCACATTCCGGGAAACGACATGTCTTTACCCCGACATTATCAAGTGACCGGGTATAACCTCGTACATGAGGATAAGGGGAAGTCTATAAAAACCCTTCTATATCAAAGGAGGTAAGCTTTCATTGAACCTTAAAACTCTATGCAATTTGGGATAGATCTCATACAACATCTAACTTAGGCATCAGAGAACAATATCGGGGTCTAACCCTTGGTATGGCTTTCTAACCTAGTCGTTGTTCATTCATGCAGCGTACCTTTTGGACTACTCGTTAGGAGGAAATGAGGAATTTGATCCCCACCATATAGGCGGAAGGCCATGTAGAAGCATTGGCACCATCCGTATTGAATACTATCTAACAACACAATAATGAGCAATAACACTCGTACCAAGAATATCCCGGCCATAGATAACAAAAATGAAATTGCACCATATTTACACGGGATGTTCAATACACAGAGGAACCGAAAGTCTAACATACAAGGTGATGAACCGATTTGATACATGGTTACGTACAAGATATAGGAATACATCGGATTTACTGCGATAGTGGAAGAAGTGCAATGAAGAAATTTAAAGTTATCGCATCAACAATTCATGGCCTAATACGATTCTAAACAAATAAGGGCTATGTGATGATTTACAGCAAGCCATTGAACATATGTGCAGAGACATTAGTGGCGGAAAATATAATCCAACCATCTAAAGAAACTGAGTTCCTGTCCGAAGTAACAATCAAAATTGTCACAAACGATCCCTACCCTGACCAAGAAATACGAATAGGCGCAAAGTTAACAAAAACATTAAGGGAAGAGTTGACCGAACTACTGGGAACATACACTGACGTGTTTGCATGGCAGCCAACCGACATGATCAGTGTACCAATGGAACTAATAGAACACAAGCTAAATGATAAGTCGAGCGCAAAACCCATCATGCGGAAAAAAGGGGTCAATCGAAGGAAAAGAACAAAGTAATAAATGATGAAGTGGACAAATTGGTGAAGAAAGGGATAGTACGTGAATCAGTATTCCCAGCCTGGGTAGAAAATCTTGTTTTAGTAAAGAAAGAAGACAAGCAATGGAGAATGTGCGTCGACTTCACAAATTTAAACAAAGCATGCCCAAAATACTATTACCTGCTACCGTCCATAGACGAGAAGATAGAGTCTTTGCACGGACACAAGTGGCAAAGTTTCCTAGACGCGTATAAAGGATATCACCAAATACACATGCATAGTAGAGACAAAGAAAAAGTTCTTTTCATACGAACGGAGGAACTTTGTGTTACACTAAAATGCCATTCGGATTAAGAAATGCATGAGCGAAATACCAAGGTTGGCAGACAAGGTTTTCGAGCCACAAATTGATAGGAAAATAGAAGTATACGTGGACGACATGGTTATAAAAAGTTGAATCGATGAGTTTTTCTTAAAGGACATAGAAGAAACCTTTGCAAGATTGAGAGCCGTTTACATGAAGCTGAACCCAAATAAGTGACTTTTTGGGGCAAAAGAAGGGAAGTTCCTAGGGAATGTAATATCGAAAGAGTAAATCCAGAGAAGACACTGATGGAAACGTAGGTTACAAAAGTTATATGCACTAAGCGGAAAACATTTAACAATTAAATGATTATGGCACATGCAACCTATGAAGGATCTATGTCTTTCACGTAAATGCAACATACTATGAACTATCAAAACTACATAACTTCTTGTCTAAATCTGAATTCATAAGATGGAATACATACCTTATTGATTGTGTAAGCAAACAATCAAGAAACCCTTTTTGTTGATCTTTTGGAAGCAAGCACAACAAGCGTCGTGCCTCTAGTGATTCACACCCAACACAAGCAAGAAGGATATTGAGGGGAGAGGGGGAAGAAGATCATAATTTTGGCCTATACTCTCTAAGGTATGAATGGCCGAAAATCATATCCCTTGGGGCCTTTATATAATGCAGTTAGGAAACCCAAGATAAGCCCAAATCCAATATAATAATATTATATTGAACTGGGTAATTATCCACCAAGGATAATTCTAGAAACCCTAATGGCTCCTTAAAACCGTCCATAGCCTCAAGGAGGCTTCTAGAATGCCTCTTGTTCAACTAATAAACAATTGGACTTCAGTCCCTGCACTTTCAGTTAACTCTTTTAATCACCAAATTAATTCCAATTAATTTATGATTAAATATTAATTAAATATTACTATTTCTAATTAATATATTATTTCCATAATATATCAACAAATTATTTATTTTAATTTATTAATCAAATAATAAATCAATATCTCTCTCTAAAAATATCATGTCCATTGCTAGGTTTGAGGGCAACCCAAAAGGACTGTGTTACTATCAATTTAAGTTATACCAATTATATTTATTTCAGATCCATTTTATTGGCTTCACATTGTATTTGAAGCAGCTTCCAAACATATATGTTATGTACCAAACTGCTACATACTCCTCTATATTTCCATTCAAACATAAGTGTAAACATCCCAAGAATCAGGACATAAAAAAATTTGTTTTTAGATTAATAAATCGTTAATACATATTGTATCCATAAAACCAGAGTAAGCAATATTTAGCAAAACATCATTAAACCAGGGTAATTCACAGAATATGGAAACATGTGGTGTGTGCTCTACAATCATCTCGAGCTCTTCCATTTGAAAACGGGA